TAACTCAAAAAGAAATTCATAGACTGAAAGTAAAAGGATGGAAAACAGCTCTCCACACCACAGGAACCCAGAAAAAAGCAGGGATAGCAATCTTATTTGCAGACAAAGTAGATTTCAAACCTAAAGTAATTAAGATAGACAAAGATGGTCACTACATTCTTGTGAAGGGAACAATCCAAGATGAAGAGATGACAATCATAAATATATATGAACCAAATATGCATGCCCCCAACTATACAAAACAAATGTTAATGGACATGAAAAACCAAATAAGCAGTAACACAATTGTAGTGGGGGACCTCAATGCCACACTATCACAAATAGACAGATCATCTAGACAAAAAATTAACAAAATTCTATAACTGAACCAAGCTATTGAACAAATGGACTTAGTAGATGTTTACAGAGTGCTCCACCCCGCAAAATCAGAATATACATTCTTTTCAGCTGCACATGGGTCATTCTCCAGAATAGACCACATGCTAGCTCATAGGACATGTCTAAGTAAATGTAAAAGGATTGAAGTTACCCCCAGTATATTATCAGACCATACTGCAATAAAATTGGAAATCAATAACATAAGAAACCACAAACCCCCACAAACACATGGAAACTGAATAATACCCTCCTGAAAAACCAATGGATTACAGAGGAAATTAAAGAAGAAATTAAACAGTTTCTACAAGTAAATGATAATGCAAGTACAACATACAGGAATCTGTGGGACATAATGAAAGCAGTTCTATGAGGGAAATTCTTAACAGTGAATGCTCATATTAGGAAAACAGAGAGAGCTCAAATAAATAACCTCATGCAGAACCTCAAGCTCCTAGAAAAAGAAGAGCATAACAAATCCAAAGCTCATACAAGAGAGGAAATTATAAAGATCTGAGCAGAAATTAATGCAGTGGAGACTAAGAGAATGACACAAAAAATTAATGAATCAAAGAGTTGATTTTTTGAACAAATAAATAAAATTGATAAACCTTTAGCCAACCTTATCAAAAAAGGAAAGAAAAGGCTCAAATTCATGCAATTAAGAATGAAAAAGCTGAAGTCACAACAGATCAGCATAAATCCAGAGGATCATCAATACCTACTTTGAAAACCTGTCCTCTAATAAAATGGAAAACACAGAAGAAATAGACAGATTCCTAGATACATATGAATTGCCAAAGTTAAATGAAGAAGACATAGAAATTCTAAACACCCCAATTACAATGAGTGAAATTGAAAATGTAATAAAAAATTTACCAACAAAGAAAAGCACAGGCCCTGATGGCTTCACTGCTGAATTCTACAAGACAGTTAAAGAAGAATCATTGATATCACTCTTTAAACTTATCAAGGAAATTGAAAGGGAAGCAAGGTTTCCAAATTCATTCCTGGAAGCAAGTGTTACTTTGATCACAAAACCAGGGAAAGACAAAACCCAAAAAGAGAACTACAGGCCAATCTCCCCAATGAACATAGATGCAAAAATCCTCAACGAGATGCTGGCACACAGAATAGAAAGGACCATCAAGAAGATCATACACCCTGACCAAGTCAGATTTATCCCAGGAATGCAAGGATAGTTCACCATTCATAAATCAATAAATAAAATACACTATATTAACAGAGTCAAGGACAAAAGCCTTATGATCATCTCAATAGATGCAGAAAACGTATTCAACAAAATCCAACACCCATTCATGATAAAAAAAAAAACCCTACAGAAAATTGTAATAAAAGGTCTTTATCTCAACTTGATTAAGGCTATCTATGAAAAACCAACAGCCAACATCATACTACATGGTGAAAAACTGAAAACTTTCACACTAAAATCAGGAATAAGACAAAGATGCCCACTATCACCACTCCTGTTCAATATTGTTCTGGAAACATTAGCCACAGCAATTAGAAAAGAGAAAGAAATAAAAGGAATAAAGATAGGAAAGGAAGAAGCAGGTGCAGGCCCAGTTGTCACCCCTCCAGAACATCTCCCCATGGATTCTGATGGCATTGACTCTTCAGACTCTGAGTTTGCTATCCTGTTGGGCATTCTGGACAACATGGACCCAGTCATGTTCTTCAGATGCCCTTCTCCAGAGTCTACCAGCCTGGAAGAGCTCCCAGAGGTCTTCCCAGGAGAACCTAGTTCCTCACCAGCCTCCCTTTCTCTTTCAATGTGGACATCATCAGCCAAGCTGGAAGCCATTAATGAACTAATTCGTTTTGACCGTGTCTATACTAAGCCTCTAATCTTAGAGATACCCTCTGAGATAGCGAGCCAACCTAATGTGGTAGTGAAAATTGAGAAAGCACCCCTCAACCCCTCAGAGAATGATCACCCTGAATTCATTGTCTCAGTGAAGGAAGAACCTGCAGAAGATGACTTCATTCCAGAGCTGGGTATCTCAAACCTGCTTTCATCCAGCCACTCTCTGAAGCCATCTTCCTGCCTGCTGGATGCTTATAGTGACTGTGGATATGAGGGCTCTCCTTCCCCATTCAGTGATATGTCCTCTCCGCTTAGTTTAAATCATTCTTGGGGGGACACTTTTGCCAATGAACTTTTCCCCCACCTGATTAGTGTCTAAGGAATAATCCAATACTGTTCTCTTTCTTGACTATTACACTGCCCAGAGGCTACCAAAGAAACCTGCCTGTGCTTCACTCAAAAAACCAAAGTAGAGGGTATACAGTTCTAGAGGGTTCCTCTAAAGTCTGTGCTCAAACATCACAGATGACTCCAAGTATTGTCTTTTGACATCTGGCAGTCCAAGGTATCCAGATATATTACAGTAACGCAAAACTACAGCTTTTGAGACTGTACTTTTAAGTGTGAAAGATGGTAGTTTTCCCTGACAATACTTACTTAAGGCTTATCTGACATTTGTCAGAAAGTAAACATGAAATTTGTGAATAGCCCTTCATCATTTCTCTTTCCTCTTTCTTGGCATCCCAGGATTGCCTCTGATTTTAGGTCCTTTAGTTTGCTTCCACAAGCAAGCCACCTGACGGGGACACCTTTTCCCTCATCTACAGTTCAAGTGAGGATTAAGAATTTTCCCTAAAGTTATGGAAATTTACTGTGTAAATGCTTTGATAGAATTCTTTTTCTCCTGGTGAATCTTTGGAGAGGTGCTTTCTTCATTTATTTAAAACTACTCACACAATTAAAAAAGTGCTATGCAATAAAAAACCAAAAAAACAATAAAAAACCCCAATAGCCTTCTTATACACAAATAGCAGACTCATTGAGAGAGAAATTTGGGAAACAATTCCTTTTACAATAGCATCCAAGTAAATGAAATATCTAGGAATCAATCTAACAAAGGAAACAAAAGATATCTACACTGAAAACTATAACACTCTGAAAAAGGAGATCGAGAAGGATATAAGAAAATGGAAAGACATCCCTTGTTCCTGGGTAGGAAAAAACCAATATAGTGAAAATGGCCATACTTCCAAAACTACTATATAGATTTAATGCAATGCCAATTGAAATTCCATCAATATATTTCACAGAACTAGAGAAAACAATCCAAAAATTCACTTGGAACCAGAAGAGACCTAGAATAGCAAAAGCAATTCTAGGCAACAGAGACATGGCTGGGGGTATTACAATCCCAACTTGAAACTATACTACAAAGCTATGTGATAAAATCAGCTTGGTACTGGCAAAGAAACAGACCTGAGGATCAGTGGAATAGATTAGAAGATGCAGAAACAACTACAGATATACTCAACCACCTCATCTTTGGCAAAGGAGCCAACCATCCTCGTTAGAGGAAAGATAGTCTATTTGATAAATAGTGTTGGGAAAACTGAATTTCAACCTGCCAAAGATTAAAACCAGACCCATACCTATCACCATGCACTAATCTAAGTTCAAAGTGGATTAAAAATCTAAATATTAAGACAGAAACACTAAACTTGCTGGAAGATAAGTTCGGTAGAACTCTTGAAGACATTGGCATAGGAAAAGACCTTATGAACAAAACCTCAGTAGCACGGGAACTAGCACAAAGAATCAACAACTGGGATCTCATCTTATTAAAAAGCTTCTGCACTGCAAGAGAAACCACCAACAGAGTTAAGAGACAATGTACAGTGTGGAAAAAAATTTCATCAGCTGCACTTTAGACAAAGTACTACTATCTAGAATATATAAAGAGTTGAAAAAAATCAGACCCCCCAAATTCAAAGACCCAATTCAAAAATGGGCATCTGAAATGAACAGACATTTCTCAGACAAAGAAGTAAAAGCAGCAAATAAATATATGAAAAAATGTTCAACATCACTGGTTATTCGAGAGATGCAGATGAAAACAACACTGAGATTGCACCTCACCCCAGAAAGAATGGTTTTTATAAAGAAATCATCCAATAACAAGGGGTGATGGGCCGAAAGGAACCCTTCTCCATTGTTGGTGGGAGTGAAGACTGGTGGAACTGCTTTGGAAATCAGTATGGAGATACCTCAAAGAATTAGGCTTAGAGGTCCCATTTGACCCAGCTATCCCTCTGTTGGGTATCTTCCCCAAAGAATTAAAAGAATCATACCACAGTGATATATGTGCACCCATGTTCGTAGCAGCACAGTTTGTAATAGCTAAAGCTTGGAAACAGCCCACGTGCCCATCAACTGGAGACTGGATAAAGAAGAAGTGTGTTTTTTTTTTTTATAAAATGTAGTACTACTCAGCCATAAAGAATGAGAAACCAGAGACATTTACAGCTAAATGGATGCATATTGAGGCCATCCTCTTAAGTGAAATAAATAGGACACACATGTGTAAATACCGAATATTTTTTCTAATGTGAGAAACTGAAAATGTAATTAAAGTTTAAAATGATTAAAATGAATAATGGATAATTTGAAATATAAAGAAAAAGCTCAAAGGGGTATGGGTGGCAGGAGGGAAAGGGGAGAGATCAGGTTACAGGCTGGAATCTGGAAAGAATCCATACAGATTTTGTTTAAAACTATAGGAAGAGGGGCCAGGGATTTAGCTCAGTGGTTTCGCCGCCTGCTATGCAAGTGCAAAGACCCGAGTTCAATCCCGGGTACCAAAACAAAAACAAAAACAAAAAAAAACTATAGGAAGAGATGTAGATAGAGACTAGGCTGGAGCTCATCAGTGGGTTGGGAAGGAAGAGTCACTGTGATCAAAGGACAGAATGGTGTGTTTCCAGAAGAAGTGCATACAACTATGTACAGTATACAGTACTCGATAGTGTGATAAATGACTGTTACTGTTTTAGGTACTTATCATAACATGCTGCGCTTTTCATTCTTTAGAGGATAATCCTACTTATATAAAAGAGTTTACTGTAAAACAGTGTGCTGCTATGCCAGTGGTAGCCTCATGTATCTAGTGTTTAACTGCATATGTGGATAATATCAAGGGGCCATCACAGATGATTGACGTATACCTTTTCAGTTTGCACTTAGAAGTTGACGCTCTATGTGGTACTTTTCTATATACATGGATGAAATTGCCTAATAACATATTTCTCAGATTATATTTCCATCACGTGTCACATGACTGTATTGAAATTTAAATAAAGAAAATTTGGCCTATTTGGAGTCTACTAGTTAATTAGGATTTTTTCTCCAGACCACTACTTGTTCAACATTATATTTGAAAATCTTTCTAAAACAAATCACATCTTCTGATGTCTTGTTAATGCTTGAGATGTTTTTTTAAAATTATATGGAAAAATGTTTAAGTACTTTTCAGTTTTGCTTTGGTTGAGTTCTATTATATTTGAATATTATTATAGTTTTTTCCCCTTGGATTGCTTTTCTTTGAATAATTTTAATTTTTGTATATGTGTGTTTTTAGTGAATGATAATAAAGTTATACATTATAAAAAAAGAGCTGTAAGGTAAAAAGATGATTTGACTGTTTAATGTTTTTTGCAAAAGATATTACAAAACAGAGATCACTCTGAAACTGAAAAAGAGTAATTCTGTGTTACTATGCTTTGACAAGCTTCAGCTCTCATCTGTGGGCAGTTTGCAAGCATTCCCTCCTCCCCTCCTCATTCATTTATAAAGAAACCTCCTACGTGGTGCTACTAAAATAAAAGCTTACTCATGTGCTTAGTCAACTCTGAGCAGAATTTCTTTTATAGGTTCCCTGTGAATGAGTTCTGAACTAACAGCTCTAGAAAATGAAACTGCTCAAAAAGAAGATGAAAATGATTTGAAAATCTTCCAGCGAGTACTTTGCGTGTGTGAGTGTGTGTGTGTGCACTGGGATGGGGGAGGTGTCCACTCACAGGAGTGTGCCAAGACCTCCAGGTTCTGACTGCAAATGAACAACATCCAGAGTTGATGTGGGAATAAATGATCTAGGCTTAAAATGGGAGTCTCCCTCTATGGACACCATGAGGTCTTCCAGGCAACAAGCCACTTCTGAACACACGCCTCACAGCTGCCTGCTGATTGTGTGCCTCTAATGGGTGCTTGGCTTTGGGTCCTCCTTCTGCTGTTTACCAGCTGTGTGGCCATGAGTGAGTTGCTTAACCAGTCTGAGCGCCTTGTCCCTTACTTGCAACATTCAGATAACAACAGTATTTCCTCCACAGAGCACAGGGCTCCTAACCCCACTCCTAATCCTCTGAGCTCTAGAATCAGGTTAATCCAGATCCTTGGTCACGACAGTCTCCTCCACTGGTCTGCATTTGGCTCTCTTTGTCATTTATTTAGTTATGTAGTTAGTTTTTCCAATAGTGTAATTAACATCATGAGTCCACCACCGAAACTGAAAGCTATGTCTAGGACAACAGGAACATCTCACCATCTGGTCCCCCAGATTGCATGAACCCCAACTCCTGAGCTCTCACCATCTTGATTTCTGTTGTGCTAATAGCCCTGCTTCCCTTTTCCCTTGGTGTTATGCCTCTCTATATATTTCTAGAAGATGTGTATAATTGTATATTGATTTTTTTAACTTTATAGAAGTAGCAGGTGACTTGTAACTTTGGGGAATATCCTTTTTTTCACTTAACGCTACGTTGCTAAGATTCCACTATCATTTGTCACTGTGGTTCAGTTGTTCCGACTGTTGCATTATAAGGTGTGAATATGGATGGTGTGTTCACCGTCCAGCCTCCCACTGGGAGCCCTTGGGAAGGGCAAGGACTTGCTAGTTAGAACAGTGCTGTAAGAATCTTCCTTGCACATGTCTGCCCTTGTATAAGACCTTCCAAGACTCATGTCAGAGTGTATACAGAAGTTCAGCTTTAGGAGATCACACCAAACCATTTTCTAAAGTGTTTGCCCCTCATCTACAAAGCCATGAGCTTCATTGGCTACCATACTCAATCCTTGTTTACTTTTTGCTCTTCGAATGGGTGTACAGTGGCATTTCATTGTGACTTTAACTTGCATTTTTCTTCATAAATCTCTTCATAAATTTTGTTGGGCATATATGTTTCCTCCTCTGTGAAGTACCTGTTGATATTCTTTTCCCCTTTATTATACTGGGTTGTTTGTGTTTTTTAAAAGAATTGATTTGTAGCAGTTCTATACACATTGTTGATATTAAACCTCAGTGGCTAATATTATGACTATCTCATTCCAGTTTCATCTTATCTTTTTGCTTTTTAAAGGTGCCTCTTGGTGAACTCAAGTTCTTGATTTTGATATAGCTAAATGTATCATTTCATAGTCAATATTTTATGTGCTTATATGAGAAAATCTTTAGTTATTCCATGGTCTAATGGATGGCCATCTATATTATTTACTATGAATTTTAAGTTTGTTTTGACATTTAATTCTTTAGCTTACATAGGGTTAATTTTCAGAAGTCATTTGAGAGACATCACCAAGTCCTTTCCTTCTTACAG